GATAATTTTATTTTTGTAATTATATAATATTTTGTTTTTATTGTTTTAATATCATCAGTGCGGTTTCTGGGCATTTGTTTTTTCGAATAAGTCTGTGGAAAGATCGTCCTGGGTAGGACTATAAATAACATCCACTAGCAAGGCTTCTGATCGGGATGTTATTGAGGAGCATGGAACAATCTCGTAATTGCTGTTGTTCTCAGGCCCAACCTGAGCCGGGTTGGTAGAACCTGTTAGCGTCCCAGTTAGTTAACAATATTAAAGTATAAACATACATTTTTATCGTAAAAAATACCTTCAATTTAAAAAAAAAAGGATTATTAGAAATACATTTGACTTTCGAGAAACAACACTCTTTACAAAAATGCGTCAATGAAACTTGATTTATAAACTGATTTCATACAAAGAATACATATTCTCTTCGTACGAACCTATCCTAAAAAAATATTCTCGGCATTAAATAACCTATTCAGGTGTTGATATACCGTAAAACAAAATAAATACCAACTCTGTATTTCTTTGATAATGTGCGTATGCTATTTGTCTCTGAGTTTAATTATATTTGTTTGACGGGCTGATTTTGCTTCTTTTATGAGTATTTGGGAAATATATTCACGCAAGCTTGGTTTTACTGATAATATTAACACCTCCATCTATTGAGAAGGGAAATTGTTGTCTTCTTGACTATAATAAGAAATGCTTACAGATACAAAATGGTCATTATTAGAAACTTAATGAATAGTGCATACGAATAGCTTTACATGCAATACATTTTATATATATATATAAAAAAAAAACTTAAACTAATCAAAGAAACATTAATTAATAATACGTTCATACCCATGCAAAATATGAAGCTATTGGGCTGGACTTATAAGGAATAACAATACTTCAAAATAATAAAAATACCTTTAATCTATTCTAGTGAAACCAGGTACACAATAACCAGAAACAAGAATGGATATGAAAAAACTACAACAAAGATATATGCTACCTAATTTATCATTTATTAGACAAAAAAACACTAATAAGATTACCGTCACTAATTAACCAAAAGGAAACACCCCTACAAAGCAATGTCGCCGAAGTAGCTTGTTCGCTGGGAGATTTTCTCTCAATTAATAGTTCCCGACAATACATGTACTGGTTATACAATCACAACATTATCTTATCGGCTAATCTGACATTTATCCGATAATATCTCCATTAGTCCTCATATCACCAACCAACACAACAAGAAAACACAAGAAACGCGGGAGATAGAAAGCAATGTATGAAGATGCTATTAAACAAAAATATAATAAGCGACCAAATAATTCTGGATATTAGAAACATTGAAAAATGAATGTGGAAAAGGTCATAAGAAAAATATTTCCAAAAAGAATTCAGTGGTTTCAAAGAAAAAAAAGTGAATAAATCTTAAAACGGAAACTACAAAATATAAAACAGAAATCAGCATAACAAAATATGGACACCATTAAAAAAAAAAAAAACTAATAATAATTCCCGCCAGCAGGCAAACTGAATTGCCTCCCTTGTTGTGATCATCATTAACTCTTGTAATAAGTGAATTTGAAGCTTCCGACCGAGGGAAAATCTGAAAGGCTTTTATATCATATGAGAAGAAACATGACCATCAATATTTGACGAATGACCATGAATATTTAATACATTTTTATGGCAAAGATATTTTTTGCTGAATTCTCTGAGATATAATCCGATTATTCGAATAAATGGAAAAAAGAAGGAAATGACCGAACTGTGTTTCACCATTAAGCAGTTTCATTTCATCACCAAGCTGGTCTGACGTGAATATTTTTCGTAATGGAACTGAAAGACAGCTACATATTCCAATAGCGACTATTTGGTCAGACATGTAATGTAGCAAATTACTGGAGCCTGGCTTTACGCAATTTTCACCCCACAAACAAAAGGAAAATACAATTGAGAAAAATAAGAAATTAGATGAAAAATTCAAACATGTTAAAAAGCCAGTGAATAAGAGATTTTTGATATCTGGGAAAATTTAAATGAAGCAATAACACTTGCATTGATAATGATCACCGGCTGAAAACATAAGCATTATTTCTTTCTTTTTAAGTGCAATGTCTCTTCAAGGCATCGGCGAGATGTCTTTTCAAAGGTTCCTTCTCTTAAGGCTTTGGAATTGTTCTTTTCCAAGACTGATTAACAACGAAATATAGAGACTAGAGTCTGCCTTACTATTAAGATGCAAATGAGGCATGTTTTGTTTTTTTGTTGATTCTTTTTTACGACTTGGCAACCGTTTGCAAGATATTTAAAGCCAGAATTTTTCTTTAATTTGCAAGAATTGTTTTGTTGGAGTGGCGGTGAGGGAGATTGTAATGATTTAGTGATACAAGTCTTACTAATTAACCCATAGCTGGGTGAGAAGAGGTGGATTTATACCTTTCCAAAAAGTATTTGGGTATAAGTGATTGTAACGAACCAAACTGGAATTGGAACTCGGCTCTCCTATTTACAATTCCTTGCCATTATCCATTACACCACCTGCACACCCAAGCTTGAAGCACCTGATATTCTCTAACACTCACCCATTTAACTACTGACCAAGCTGCGTTGCTTAACCTGTGTGATCTTACGAGAACCGGAATTTCAATGTGATAGGCTGTATGCCTGTAGGAAGGGAGGAGAATTGGATTCATGACTTTCCTAAGGATATTAGTGCAAAATTAATACAAATAGTCTTGGAATGTCGATTCGACTCTCTGATTCACTTTCACTGATACACCTCCAACTGCTAGACAAAAGTATAATAGCATAATTCGATAAGATAGGATATTTTATACTGCTCATCCAATCCAAAAAGTAAGATATTACTTAAATAGACTAGCACACTCGTAAAAAAATAGGGAAAATGTATTTTTTGGGGGAATCATTTTTGTAGATTATCCTTCATTAGTTCTTGTACGATGTGGCATGACAGGTCCTAAATGTGATGGTCTTAATAGGTGAAATGTAGTTCATTTTAACACAACGTCTCCTCTGAGAGAAAGACGTTGTACAGTGGAAAATGTTTCATCATACATTGGGATGAAGAACCGGTCCGTACGCTTGGATGGTTCTGTTTGGATGAAGTTACGTCAACATGAGCAAAGTTTAAAGTGATCTGACCTCGTTCAAATTTTGCATACTTAACGGTATTTTTTACCTCTGTTTTTAGTATAAAATACTATCCTTACATTTGCTTTCATAAATTTTATCAGCGGATGAAACGCGTCGGTAAAGAATAGTTTTCATATTGTCATTCTACAGATATATTTTTTGTTTATATCTGAATATTTACACACAGACAATGCAAATATAATAGCTTCATCCACATGTAAAAAAGGCTAAAAATAATGTAAGCATTATTAATAAAAAAACAAAAAGCCAGCACTCAATAACATCAACACGGCGAAAAGGTGCTGATCTTGTTTGGGAAAATTTCAAGATAAATTCATACAAAATTCCATACATTCTGTAAAAATAAAATAAAATTATCCTAAAATCAGTCATACAGAAAATTCGTCCAATTTCTACATAATTTATGTCCAGAAAAGAAAAGAATTATAAGAAAACACGAAGAATTAAGTGAAAAAATTAACCGCAATACTTTGTCAGACGTTTTTAACAAAACTTGTTTATATATATATATATATATATATATATATATATATATATATATATATATATATATATATATATGAGTATAGTGGTATACTGAGGTTATCATACATCTTCGTATGTGATCATTTTATGTGAAGTCTTCGTTGTAATATCCCCCCCCCAAAAAAAAGATTGTCTTTAAGACGATGGCATTATACACCAGTTCATCGTAGACGATCTTTCATTTCCTTACGAAGAGTCCTTATAGGGATTACATGACCTTTTTCGGTCAGTACGTAAAAGTTAGGGAAATAAGTGGACACAAATGTTTATTAGCAGATAATAATATGTGGGCTGTCTGTCAGCGCGAATACGATCTTCTTTTTAGGCCATCAATATTGATCGGCACCCAATCCTAGGCAGCATTGTTTTGACGAGTCCAAGCGGTGGAACTGTCGGTAGTAATGGATTTTAATAATGCACGCTTCGACACTTTGAGGATTGGCAGGTATTCTGGCTGGACACGCATTGATAATAGAGACGAATAGAGATGGACAAAAGTCAAGGGAAGACAATGGTTGATGCGGGAACAATTCAGACAATCGGGGATAAGGACTGGAGAAATGATAGAATCATCTAATCTCATGGCGAGGGCAGAGGTCTTCGTCCCATGGTGAATATTAAATTGACATTTTCAAAACGTGCAAATTCATCTCCCCGAACTTAATCTCACCACGTATTTCTTGTATTTCTTTCTGTTTTCTTTATATTTTTTTTAATCTTTTTCATTTCATTTCTTTCATTTTTCCTTCTTTCGTTTTTGCTTTCCTTTTACATTAAATAATTCATTCATTTTATTTTAGTTTCACCTTTCTTTCTTTTTATTTAACCTGGTATGATTGTTTTCTTTTCGTTGTATTCTTTCTGTCCCTTTTACGTTATCTATCTTAATTGTTCCTACTGACTTTCCTTCTGCTTTTATCCTTATCAGGTTCACTTACTTTTGACTTTCTTTGATAGATAAAAAGAAAGTATTATTATCTATCTATCTATCTGTCATAGTCTGCTCACATCTATCATAGTCTGCTCACATCTATCATAGTCTGCTCACATAAATCTATCATAGTCTGCTCATATCTATCTAGTGATTTTCCAAGCGTAGCTTAGATGTGGCATGGCAGCCAGACAAACGGCAACCATTACACCACCTCGAGGTGCCCCTCACATATCCCATCTGATCTATCGATCTATCTATCATAGTCTGCTCATACCTATCATTGTCTGCTCTGATCTATCTATCTATCATTGTCTGCTCAGCCTATCTATCAAGCATAGTCTGCTCAATCTGTCATTATCATCATCTATCATAGTGCCCCTATTCATCTATCTATCTATCTATCTATCTATCTATCTATCTATCTATCTATCTATCTATCTATCATAGTCTGCTCATACCTATCATTGTCTGCTCTGATCTATCTATCTATCATTGTCTTCTCATATCTATCTATCTATCTATCTATCTATCTATCAATCATAGTCTGCTCATATCTGTCTGTCTATCTATCTATCTATCTATCTATCTATCTATCTATCATAGTCTGCTCATATCTATCTATCTATCTATCTATCTATCTATCTATCTATCTATCTATCTATCTATCGTGTTTTTATTATATTCTTTCTCACTTTATTTGTTGTTTTTTGTTTTCTTTTATAATTATTCTTAAGATGTTTTTATCACCGCCTTTTCTTTCTTTCTTTCTTTCTTTCTTTCTTTCTTCTTTTTCATCCATTTATCCCCCAAATGCCACTATCACGCTGGGGGGTTACAGAGATTGAAGGTGAGAGAAAAGACTGGGTGTAGGGAGGATTGAGGAAAAGATGAAAAGATAAACGGGATTCATGGCGTTGGAAGATGGCGATTGGTTTTGCATTTAAATTTTTGAAGATTGTTGTTATCAGGGAAGCAATCAACGGAACGGTGTTCCACAGGCGCGAAGTGAGAGAAAAGAAAATGTTGAAGTAGAAGAGACGGTTACATTTAAATATTTCAACAGTAAATGGGTGGGACCTGGATGCCAATCTAGTAGCACGCTTAAATTCATGTCATCGGGACTCCAGGAAAAAAAACTCGTCAGAGCAGCTGTTGTGAAAATATTTCTAGAAAAGACAGAGGGAAGCTACGTCACGTCTGTGAGAAAGTGACTGAAGTCGAGATGCCAAGTCAGGATCGATTACATTGTAGGACCTTCTGTGTGTTTCTTTCGCTTTTTGTTTTTCATTTTCAAATTTTCTTTATTCTTTTCTGTTTTTAATTCCCTTATTTCTTTCGAACACAATTTAATTCTCGAAATATACTCTCGAATATGAAATTGCAATACACTGAAGAGGAGTCTCCATTTACACATGATTAAGTATAAAGAATATATAGCTGGATTAAAATCCATAATCTTGTTTACATATCAATACTTGCACTGATTTCGCAATAAGGATGATATAAACATTACTCAAACTTGATACTAACACGCTGTATGTCATCATAAGCTATTATATAGAACTACACCCTCGAATGCGTAAGATTGTAGACGGTATCTTGCAATACATCTTTCTAAGTTCCTAGCATTGACTAAATACAGCATATGTCATAGGTGGTTTATCTGAAAACGTTATTCGTCGTGCCATCATGTTTGATACATGTTCAATGGAGCATAATTTTCACTAACGCCCAGAGAAGTCAACGATATCTTTTCTTGAGGAGTACTACGGGTGTATAATGGTTAGGTATTATTCTGCTGGAAGAGAAGGCTGCCTTCTTGTATAAAATTTTTGCAGTAGAATGGCGAAGTTGATCATTCCTTCGAACACACCATATATGAGTGAGAGCCATGACTTCTGTCAAATACACCATTGAATATGTAACCTGCTCTCATCATGGAAAGCGACAGAACTGAATTCGATTTCCTAAGTGACTCTCGCGATAACATTGGAGAATTGTATGTCTCCGGTTTAAGTAGATATCTAGCTAGGGACAGGCGTACACAAAGTCTTGCTGCAAGGAAACGATTAGCAATAGTTAGGGTCGATAATCCATAGGAGATTTTTGTATGATCTGTGCTGCATGCTAATACTACACTGGGTGGATTTTTCTGAGTGTCTGGACTGTACAGATGTGCACTTCACCAAAATAACAATACCGCCTGTTCAGGACCACAAAGCCAATGATTCTCAAACTAAATATTATTGATAAGTAGCACATAACGAAACTGGAATATTTTAGTCATAATAGCGAATGTTTACCTTCCATCAATCTAGCTGATGTTACCGTCTAAGAGAATAACACATTTCGCCTTGTTGATCTCGCCGACATAAAGTTCTAGGACAGTTGTTTCAGTGTGTCGTGCTCGGGTTAGGGTTAGGGTTAATCTTGCATATTTATAAATCTACCATTCATCTGTGTATCGAATATTACATCTGGTCTGGTAGGTCTGTATATCTCAAGATTTTCGAAAAAAGAAAGGGTTTGTTATATTAACGCTCCTTACCTGGCATCTCTGTTTCATTAACATTCCCACCGCGGTATGGTGCTTTTTTTCTATAAATATTTTCCTAGCAATTGTATCCCTTTGTAATTCAATCGAATGAATTTAAATATAGTCGAGATTGGCAACTAAGCCTGATCGCTTTAGTATTATCGAGATATCGCCCAAAGTTCTAGTCTAATAGTTTATTTTCTCGCACATCACGCCTGTGGAACTCACGTCTCGTCCGGTTTGTCGCTTTCCTGGCACCTACGATATTCCAAAAGTGAAAGTCATTTTTGACTTCCTGAACACTGTTTTTTCGTTGTCTTTTCTCATCACTAACGCCATCTCATTTTCTTTCGCTTTCAGTAAGCACCATACGCCATAGTGGCATCCTCACCCTTCTTAGTGAGAAATAAGTAAAAAAAATGCTTCTCCGTGTCATGACACCGTATAGGTTATCTTCCAAGACTCAAAGAGAGGCGGCGAATTGGGTGTTGCTAAATCACAAGATGGACGATTATTTTGAAAGTTTTATGAGCATATCAGCTAAAAGCGGGCGTGATCAAATTATATCAGAAGAGTTTTTGTGTAACCAAATAAATATGATGTTGCCTCAGTATTATTATCCGGCCACCAATAGCAAATATTTACAATAACATTTCTAATAAAAAATAAAGACAGAGATATGTAAAAAAAAAAAAAAAAAAATACTTTAACCTTGATCCCTGTCCTTCTTTTTGCCCTTTTCCCAAACACTCCTCTTTAGTCTGACTCTCAATAAACCTTTGCGTGCTGGTGGCACTCCTGCCTTGCTTGGGGCGATTTGCTTAAATATTTATTTATTTTTTCTTGAAAGGGAACATGCTTACAAGTTATAAAAATATATTCTTTCTCAAAGATGATGAAAAGTAAAGTTGGTTGATGTTAAAATTTGTTTTACATCATACATTAGTCAGGAAGACATCTTGCTTATCGGTGTCTACCAGAAAACTAACATGTATTTGTCAAGAAGAGGTTCCATTGCTTAGCCATTGATGGTCGCATGGCCTGCCACGCACGGTGTATGCTAACCGGTAAAGACGAAAGGTAATTAATCTAACATCAACATCGGTTTTCAAAGGTTTGCAGTTATTTTTTCAGTATGTTTATGTCAATTCATTTTTGTAGAATAAATCGGTATTTTCTTGCAAGTTGCAATTGCTTAAATTCCTTTTTTTCTTGTGAATTTCTTTTTTTCCGACTGAGGATTTTTTTTTTCTTTTTACAACTTTTTATAAACTTTTCCTTCGTTTTCTGGTCTGTTCCAGTCCTTTTTAGATATCTCCTCACAAATGATTACGTTTTTTTTCCTTTTCAATGTTTTTCCTTCGAAGAGCCGAGTTCGAAATCTGGTCTGGTTTGTTACATCTAAATACCCGCATTAGAATAGGTATTATTTAAGTTTTAGAACATTATTGTAACTTACAAAAAATGTTAATGCAATATTCCCTCGCGAAAAAAAAATTCATATAATAAATATATGTTCCATCTTTAAATAACCAACAATGGGTTGATAAGCTGTAAAATACAAATAAATCAATCAGAACAACCTGGTAAAAATGGTTGCTGAAGACATTAGTTTTATAATACCCAGAAATTCATACCCAGATGTCCTCAAGGACACATGGCACAATTTTCATGAACCACAGCGTATTAACCAATCAAATACCGTGAATGAAGAAGCGTAGAAGTTTTTTTTTGCATCTCTCTTTATTTTCCCCTCTTCATTCTTGCATTCTTTCTTTCTTTCTTTCTTTCTTTCTTTCTTTCTTATACGAAATAGGCTTCTTGTATTATTGAAGGTCTATTTCTTCGTCATTTCTTTCTTTATTCCCTCACCCCCCGCCCCCACTTAATTATCCTCAGCAACATCTTCGGCTTCAATCTCCTTTTATCTACCCAACACGGATTTTATCTTTTCACACCATTACCAACTGATCCACCATCTCATCCCGACTCTGCGTTCATATTTAATGATAAATCTAACCTCAGCAAGCAAGAACCGTTAATGTCTCTTCTGTTTCCTTGTTCATAGAAGAACTCCAGATTCCTCAAGGATTGTAACCAGCGCTCCATCAGATGCAAACAGTTCGGCAATAATACACCGCAGCTGATAATAGGGACGCACAAACCTAATTGTCTGTAATAAGAGTCAATGAGACCGATAATTCACCAGGGTGAGTACTGGACGTGTCGAAGAGATGTCCCTTCAACACGGCAATAATGTGTGACTGCTTGCTTTCTTCATTCTTGTAACTGGGAATCAGTGGACGATGCGGAACAACAAATAATAGACTCAATTATTAATATCCGCTTGAAATATAATATTGCTACTCTGTTAGGTCAGGAAGATCGCTTCAAAGAATTGCTCCAAGCAGGTAAATGAAAGGGATGGCAATTGACTCTATCCTTCCCCATGCATAATTTGAAATCAGAAAACGAAGAGCTGAATGGAAACCAGTGAACTGAATGCAGTTCTTAATTCAACTACAGATTATTTTTGCCATATGACTAAAAATTATTTAAGGTCAAGTTTCATAGTCTGGGATCTTTGTTTTGTTCAAATGTGAGTGCTGATCTATTGTTTAATGTCTGTCTTAAGCTACGCCAGATCGATATTTTACACCTCAGATTAAAAAGACTGGACGCAACAAATTGATTGATTGATCGATTTGTTATGCTTTACGGCTTGTCAACCTTTTGCTGTTTATTTTAAATCCAGAAAATATTTTTAAATTGTAAGAAAATTTTCAAGGTAATAACGATTTAATAACCCAAGACTTACTATTTGACCCAAAGCTGGAAGAAGAAGTGGACACACATTTATTTTCTAAGTGTGTCCGAGTTCCAATTCCGAGCCGTTATCCACTACACGACATCCAGGCTTGCAGCACGTGACATCCCCAAGCAGTCACCGATGTAGATGCTGGAGGCAACAGAAATTCGTTTCTACAAATTGAGCTTGGCAATGCCATGAAAAGAATATATAAAAAATAAGAATAAAAAGAACATTTTCTACGGGAAGAAACAGTTGAAATTTGTGGAAGACATAGCGAGGAAAGTAGGTTTAGAGAGTTTAACTCTCACAGGATATATTGAAAACAACAGGTTTGCATGACGATCTTGTGCAAATGAATGATAGAACAGGTACTGGGTTTGAAAGTAAGAAATTACAAATTACTTTGAGCTACAAAACATAAAAGTTAATAACCATATTTTATTTTTGACTAGAATCTTTTCATCTTAATTTCAATTGACTTATTTGCACTATTCGTCTTATTAGTAGTAATAATCTCTTGAATTTTTATTACATGAAGCATTGTCAATTATTATACATTTTTCATTATAATTTCTTTCATTTCAATGATTCTTTATGGCCACTAGTACTACTATTCATAGTCACATCTTGAATTTTTATGAGATGTATTATTTTCAACGATCATTCATTTTTTTACCAGTTCATATTTTCCAATTGTTTAATTTCCACAAGCATCATTATAAGCATTAATACTATCTTGAAATTTTATTAGATGAGGCATTGTTAACCATTATTAATTTTCAGTAGTATTTTTATCTTATTTCTTCTTGTAGTAATAGTAGCACTATCATTTTGTTTGATCTTCTATTAACTGAAGTATTGTTAATTATTATTCAGTTTTTACTAATATTTCTTTCATTTTTATTTCAATTGATTTATGTCCACTACTAGTTATCACGAATTTTTACTAGATGTAATATTGCAAAACATTACTGATTTTTAGTAGCATTTCTTTGATTTTAATCTCACTAATTATAATTTTGTGGTATTAATTGTGGTAATATTATCTTCAGTTTTTATGTCCTTCATCTTAAATACAATTGATTTATATCAATCCATAAAATTAAAATTATTAATATTATCTTGAATTCTTTTATTAGACGAGCCAGTCTCAAACTCCCAGTCTCTGGCAATCTGTAAACAGCACCGAACACAAGAATTAAATGACATATGCCTAACCTATAGTTCTTCGTTTAATTTCGATCGGATTTTTTTAATGAAAGGTATACATTAGCAAACACCGGACCCGCAATGTGGATTAAACAACGTTAAGACGAAATAAATACTTGTGAAACACTTATAACAAAACACATGTGATTCTACAGAAGGATGATGAGAATACATTGGACAGAGCATGTAACCAACGAGGAATTTTTAAGATAATTTAAACAAAAAGGACACATAATATTACAATCAGAAAGAGATAGTTTAAATTTGTAGGCGATATCATAAGGTAGGAAGGCTTGTAAATGTGATACTCACAGGGCCTATGAAAGATAAAAGCAACAAAGATTAATCAACAAAGATTGATCAAATTAAACAACAAAAATTAATATATGAAGAAATATAGTGTTAAGGTGTGCTATATTTATGGGATAAAGTGCTCAATATCAGACATAGAGCGTATGTAAATTTAAATATAAAAGTGAACATTGAGATCAACACTCAGAGGCGACTGGAATGAGTCCAGCGTGAAACAGCCTGTCGCCTCTGACTGTTGACTTCAATATATATATATATATATATATATATATATACTTGGTCCAACTTATAGTTTTTTTTTTGTCATTTCTCTTTGCACATGCAAATCAATGACAGAACAGTGAATAGGAAGAACAGTAAATAGATGACCATTACTAAAAACTTTGTGAAAGCCCATGATCACCTTCGTCCCGAAGGAATATGACAGATAGACAAAAGAAGAGAACAACATTTTCCTGGATCTTTTTGTCTTGACTTAATTCACAGATTATTATGTTGTATGTTTCTTCAGAATGTTGACGATCATGATTCTCCACAGCTTCCTTTGTCTTCTTGCCCTATGTAATGTTTAACACTTTAGCATCATATAAAATTTCCCTCCTTTTTCGGGAAAGTTTTCTCCAACATATTCGTTCTGTCTTTCAAGTATTCTTCCTTTTCTGTTATGCGCATGCTCACATTTGGTTTTATACATCCGGTCTATGTCCACTCTTATTTATTTTAGTCTTGTATACGGACATTCCTCATCTATGGTTCTTTTTCTATTTTAGACATTTTTTATTAAAACATTCCTCTTAGAATGTCAGTATATGATTTTATTATTCGGACTTACCGTTCTAATCTTTTATCATCTTGAAAATATAATCTATGATCCATTCTTTATGTTATTCTTTCCTTGGAATGATTTCGTCCAACGGTAATTCTAGAATTTATCTTAATGTGTTCCATTCCAAGTCTCACCTAAATCCTTATATTGGATTTGATCTCTGTATACTATATACCCTATTAAAAATATTAACAATAACTTCTTTAGGGATGTATCAGGTTTTAATATGCAAACAACAAAGTGTAACATAATTGTTTATCTATTAATACATCGACTGCTCTATAATGTTTTATCAGTTTTCAAAGCCTGATTTTGTTAGATTTACTACTGTTTCGATTTTAACATTACTTGCAGATGTTTTTCTTGCATTCCTGAAATATTTTTGAGTGACTACATTTTTCATTCTCGTATAGATCTCTTTATTTGATTGTGCACAAGCTTTCTATCCGATTAATGTCTGCTGAGGCCGGAGGTCATTCCATTAATTTTGTGCCGTTGCAAATATTTTTGGTAATATAATAGTAAGCTTGTGTGAATATGAAGTAAAAGTATTTTATTTACCTATAAATGTTAGGACAAAGTTCAAAGCTTCATGGTTGTGACTGCTACCTGTCAAAAACCATCTTGCCCAAGAAGTTAATAGAATTACTTGCATTTATCTTGGACGGTCATCGATTTTGGTAGAATCTCTGATTTTAATGCTTAGAATACTAACCCAACATATTATTCCACATCTTTACTATTGACAATGGCGGATTCAATCATCACTTCCATCCAATGTAGCTGTATATTCATCACTAAAATATTTTCTAAGAATTCAGCTTTCATATAATAATAATAATAATAATAATAATAATAATAATAATAAGTGATAAATATCCAGAAACGATTGATCATCTTGTATCAGGTTACTCGATGTTGGCACCCACTGAATATAAAACCCGACATGACAGAGTGGGCCAATATCTGCACTGGAAAATCTACAACTTCTACGGGAAGGAAACTGAAAGAAACTGGTATGAACACCACCTAGACCCGGTTACGGAGATAGGACCTGTTACAATTCTATGCGACTACACAATACACACTGACAACAATCAAGGCCAACCGCCCAGATAGTATTATTAAAGACCACAAACAAAAACGGTTCCTCCTTATTGATATGGCAGTCCCTGCTGACTGCAATGTATCTTTGAAGATATTCAAAAAGCTGTCAAAATACAAGGACCTTGAAATAGAAATCTCGAAAATGTGGCATATGGGTACATCAACAATCCCTGTTGTAGTTGGAGCTCTAGGACTGTTTGGAAAAGATTGCAGTAGACTAATTGAAGGGATTCCTGGAAGTCCATGCCTAAAGGAGATACAAAAAATTGTTCTGACAAGTACAACCCACATTTTACGAAGGGCTTTATCTATCTAATTTTTTTTTTTGTCAGTGGAAAGTGTCATGATGCCATTTCTAACCTTAGGTCCCTGGGCGGGACCCGGAAAGAAATGTGTAAACGCCAGAAATCAAAGAAAAAAAATAATAATAGACTATGCCGTCGATTTCAGTTCAGTCTTTATGTTTATATCTCGTATGAGACAACAATCCTACACAGGATATGCAAACAAGTCCACACGAGAGAGATTTAATGTTGGTTCTTAATTCTCTCAGATGGTTCCGACGATTCTTTCCAAAGTTAGTTATTCTTCGGTGGCAGGTGTTTCTACAGTTTGTTCGGTTT